TAGGAGTTTCTCCTCCCCCCGGGGCCCGGACACTGGTGGTGATACGAAGGCCGGAGAGTGGAGGGAGCCGAGAAGAGCTGGAGGTTGAAGGTGGAGGTGGGTCAATCACATTTGAGGAGCGGGCGACCCTGAATGTCGGCCTTATAACCTGGATCTGGGTGAGATGATTGGTACAGCAGGACGAGAATCTGACATTGATTAACTGCAGCTGGGCGTGAGGCACAACGATTGGATGGAGCAGGTGAGGTGGAAGGAGTCTTCCAGTCTGAATTTACACATAAGCTTAATTTTGGCAACTTAGCTGAGAAAACTTTTACTGCCATGAGACGTTAAATAAAATGCAGTTACAAGCTCCTATACTATAACCACCTGGGCTCCAATTTTATTGTACACCCTAGACATTCACTCATATCATCTTCATAACATTTACATATAGGAACTTAGGGGTGGACACTTATGGCATGCAAGAGGCGGGATGGAACACTCTCGCCACTGATGCCTGTGCCCATTCCCAAAGTTAGCTATTAGACCTTTAGGGTTTTGGGTTAGAGTTGGGGTGGAGGGYAAACTGGCACCATGCCGGCCTCTGCCCCGTCTTCTTCTCCATTTTAATTGCATTATAGAACAACATGCATCAACAGCACATCTGAGGGTGTGTGTGTGTGTGTGTCGGGGTCTTTTTTCACTCCCCTGGTCCCCGTTGGCCCTCTGGGGATGGGATCCAGAGGAGGGGCAGACTGTCTGGTGGGGCCTGGGGTGCGTGCAGACTTGGAGGGGTGCCGGGGGTGGGGCTGGTGCTCCGGCTTCCCTGGGGCTGTTCGGGCTCCCAGGGTCTGGCTCCTGGTTGCTGTGTTCGGCCCGCTAGCTGGGGTGGCTGCCGGAGTCCGGTGGGTGGTCGGTTGGGGGTGTGCACTTGGCCGTTGGCGGGGTATGGGGGTGGTCCGGGGCATGGCTTTGCTGGGGCAGGGAGCTGGCTGGTTGGCCTGGTGCTGCCCGGCTGGTGGGGCTCTCGCTGTTTATTTCTGTAGGTGTATATTATTTCAATCCTGAAATATTACTGTGTCCATCAGTTATTAGATACATGTACAGTATATCAAACTGAAATAGCTGTTGCAAACACCCAAATATTTAGAAATGAAAATGATTAAGATTATTATAGGGGTGCCCAAACTTTTTCATATGACTGTACAGTATATATAGGTATACCTTTCAGCAAGGATTTAATCATTATAGGCTAGCATTAAAACCTATTCAACAGAGCTTCTTCACCGTTACACACCTCCTCGGTCACTCAGGTCTACTGACCAGCTGCTCCTGGTCATTCCCAGTTCTAAACGGAAGCTCAGAGGAAATAGAGCCTTCTCTGTCAGTGCCCCTAAACTGTGGAATGCCTTGCCCTTGCATGTCCGACAGGCCCCTTCACTGTCCATTTTTAAGACTAGTTTAAAAACATACTTTTTCTCACTGGCCTTCAACCCGACTAAGATTTGATTTTACTCAACTTTTACTGTAACTGGTGCTGATTTTACTTATTTAACTGTGATTTTATTGTGTTTTTGTATTCAGTTTTTATTTCATGTGTTCAGCACTTTGTTTCAGCAGTGGCTGATGTTATAGCACTTTATAAATAAAGTTTGTTTGATTGATTGATTGATTGATTGATTGATTGATTGATTGATTATAATTATATAGAAATGCATTTTTGTTGCTGTGGTTTTGTCATCTTTGTTTCTGTAGGTGTGCAGCCAAGATGTTGGGTGTGTTGTCTTGTGTTTTCTCGATATACATTTCACATATCTTCTTAAAAAAAGTTCCGATTCTAGATGTACTTGTAACGTTTTTCTAATAAAAACTGAATTTTGTCAAGTTATACCTTGAAAAAAGAAAACAACTGAAGCGGTGTGACATAAAATGTATCACCTTGGTAACGAGGCACAACGAGGTCATGCAACCATATGCCCTTCGTAGACTGGACCGTATAATTTCACAGCCCTTTATGCAGTCAACATGAACAGCTTAAAGCCTGCGTAGACTGTGGTCTACATCAGCTGGAACCAATTAATTGAGACACAGCAAATAACTGAGCTCTACGTGGTATTTCTTGCACAGAAACAGTGTTTTAACACGTCCTCTCTAAATACTGAAGTTTTAACTGACTAAATGAGTTGCAGTCAACAAATTAAAAATGAGTGACTATTTGCAAAAACAATAAATAAATCTTGTCTTGAAWATACATTGAAAAGTGTTTGCAAATCATCATTTCTGCTTTTGTTTTACACAGCGTTCCGTTATCACTGGAACTGGGATTGTAATAAATTTAAAAAAAAAGGTAATATAAAAAAATTTGGGTGGGTTTTGGGATGGGCCAGCCAGAAATTATCTGCAGGCCACATTTGGCCCATGGATCTTGAGTTTGACACAAGTGTTAAAAGATGCATTGCATGATGCATGATGTATTACAGTATGTAAATCCACAGCAGTGTGCGCAAAAACAATCCAAACCATTAAGATCATTAGTTGTCAATAAGTTTTGAACATAAAGGTAATTTAAGAACCAGCATTTTTTAAATAAAAGCCTAAACTGCACATTTCACTCAGCGGTTTGACAAAAAACACACATGTAGACAAAGCCATGTACTCAGTTTTCTTTTTATTTATTTATTACCTAAAAAAAGAAAAACAATCTATCACAAGTCACACTGAAATGTATTGCTTAAGAAAAAAAATATATCATATATTTTTTCCTTTTTTTTATTTTGCCCCCATTTTTTCGTATTTTTTGGAAACGCGTTTTGGTTTCCGTTATGTTCCACCAAAAAACAAACCAAACAAACAAACAAAAAGTTTGTTTTCAGACACGAGCAGAAGCTGCAGCCGTGTCCCGACCGCCTCCTCCCCCATCGGGAGTTTTTTTTACCCCCTAAAACAAAAAAACAAACTAACAAAAAAAATYCACAAAGAAATACGTAATTCACAGTTACCATTTTGGTTTCATAAATTAATACAGTCACACATGTGCTACACCGGTCTAGAGCTAGAACATTGTAAATTGTATTCTTGAAACCTGTTATTTTCAATAGTTGGCTACAAGAAAGAACAGGCAACTTAAATGACGTGATCAGAATTTCACCAATATACTGTTATTTATCTTCTCCGTAATGCTTTTGTCATCTTTTTTGTTTTGTTTCTTCTTTTTTGAGTTTCACACAGAAGTGAGGCACACACAGAGTATAGTTCATACATATACAAAATAAAATAAAATAAAATAAAATGGGAGGAGCAGGGGCTCAGTTGTCCTTTAATATCATCGCATCCATGAAAACAGTAAGTGCATGTAGTCTGAAGTCCTCAGAGGACCTTTCTTACTCAGTTTCTTTCCATCTAAGTGGTAGAAACTTCCTCAGTTACAAGTTTTGTAGCTTTTTGCAGCTTCTTGTGTTGGGTGGGTGGGTGG